TGCATGTAAAATAAAATATGATCGTGGCTCAGAAATTATAATAATGCAAAGACCACTTGATTAGTTATAATTAATAGTATTCATTGATGATTATTTGTACTGGGTTGCAAGTAGTGTTCCAAAACGGATTGAAAATCCCTGTTGATCCGGGTTTGATCCGTATCCGATCCGAATCCGTAATACGGATTGAGCCGGGGCCGATCTGGGGCCAATCTGACGGTTAATCCGGGATTAAACCAAACGATCCGAAATTAATCCGAAATACGGATTGATCCGGGCAATCCGCAGTTAATCTGAAATTTTAAAAAGGTAAAAATGTATATATATACGTACGTACGTATGTACATATCTGATATTAGATATATATTTTACCTTTTATTGTACATACGTACGTACATATACATTTGAAAAATCATATAAATACGTATGTATTATATACTAAATACATATATATACTTAAATATTAAACCTTACTTAAGTAAATTCGACAAAGTTCTTTCAACTTTAGTTTCTATGATACTCAATTTCTTGTGTGAATTTAGTTTACTGAGGCCGTTGAAGTATTCTATAGCTGGGCTACTGTTATGAATCAAATTCATATTAATTCAGGTCATTAGTATTATGAACTTTACTTCTTTGATATGCATTTCTCAAAAACTTACTTTACTAAATATTTTGAATCAGGTTATTTAATTTAATCAATCGCTGGTACTATATAATAGGCTCATTGAAAAATCTTTGGGTATTGTGAATTGGATATATTCAATCAAGTACTTTCGAAATTAGGGCCTATAATGGTACTAATTCTTGGTGAATTGAGTTTACTGAGGCCATTGAAATATTCTATAAGTTGGGCTACTGTTATGAATCGAATTCAGATTAATTCAGGTTATTAGTATTATGAACTTTGCTTCTTTGACATACATTTCTCAAAAACTTACTTTTTACTAAATATTTTAATCAGGTTATTTAATTTAATCAGTCGCTGGTACTATATAATAGGCTTATTGAAAAATCTTTGGGTATTGTGAATCGGATATACTCAATCAAAACTTTCGAAATTAGGGCCTATAATGATACTAATTCTTGTGTGATTTGAGTTTACTGAGGCCGTTGAAGTATTCTATAAGCTGGGCTACTGTTATGAATCGAATTCAGATTAATTCAGGTCATTAGTATTATGAACTTTGCTTCTTTGACATATATTTCTCAAAAACTTACTTTTTACTAAATATTTTGAATCAGGTTATTTAATTTAATCAGTCGCTGGTACTATATAATAGGCTCATTGAAAAATCTTTGGGTATTGTGAATCAGATATACTCAATCAAAACTTTCGAAATTAGGGCCTATGATGATACTAATTCTTGGTGAATTGAGTTTACTGAGGCCGTTGAAGTATTCTATAAGCTGGGCTACTATTATGAATCAAATTCAGATTAATTCAGGTTATTGGTATTATGAATTTTGCTTCTTTAACATGCATTTCTTAAAAACTTACTTTTACTAAATATTTTGAATCAGGTTATTTAATATAATCAGTTGCTGATACTATATAATAGTCTTATTGAAAGTATTGTGAATCAGATATATTCAATCAAATACTTTCGAAATTAGGCCTATGATGATACTAATTATTGTGTAATTTGAGTTTACTGAGGTTGTTGAAGTATTCTATAAGCTAGGCTACTGTTATAATTGAATTCAGGTCATTGGTATTATGAACTTTACTTCTTTGACATGCATTTCTCAAAACTTACTTTTACTAAATATTTTGAATCGGGTTATTTAATTTAATCAGTCACTGGTACTATATAATAGGCTCATTGAAAAGTCTTTGGGTATTGTAAATCAGATATATTCAATTAAATACATTTGAAATTAGGGCTTATGATAATATTAACTATTGTGTAGTTTGAGTTTACTGAGGTCGTTGAAGTATTCTGTAAGCTAGACTACTGTTATGAATCGAATTCATATTAATTCAGGTCATTGGTATTATGAACTTTGCTTCTTTGACATGCATTTTTTAAAAACTTACTTTTACTAAATATTTTGAATCAGGTTATTTAATTTAATCAGTCACTGGTACTATATAATAGGCTCATTAAAAAGTCTTTGGGTATTGTAAATCAGATATATTCAATTAAATACATTTGAAATTAGGGCTTATGATAATATTAACTATTGTGTAGTTTGAGTTTACTGAGGTCGTTGAAGTATTCTGTAAGCTAGACTACTGTTATGAATCGAATTCATATTAATTCAGGTCATTGGTATTATGAACTTTGCTTCTTTGACATGCATTTTTTAAAAACTTACTTTTACTAAATATTTTGAATTAGGTTATTTAATTTAATCAGTCACTAGTACTATATAATAGGCTTATTAAAAGTCTTTGGATATTGTGAATCGAATATATTCAATCAAATACTTTCAAAATTAGGGCCTATGATACTAATTCTAGTGTGGTTTAAGTTTACTGAGGCTGCTAAAGTATTCTATAAGCTTGGTTACTATTATAAATTGAATTCATATTAATTTAAATTATTGGTATTATGAGTTATAAATCGAATTTAATTATTTTGTTTTTTAAATATAATTTAGATTTTTCAAAGTTTTTAAATATTAATTATAAATATTATATTTTGTGCGTAATAATGCGTATCTGTATATAAATTTAGAGTAAAGTTATTTGTCATGTATATGATTGTGGCTTATATATCACCAAGCCAATCGGATTTCAGGAATACGTGTAATGTAGTACGATCAGAAAAATTCAAAACAAATGTTTAATTTGCCAAAAATCGCTTATAACTCAAAAATTCGTATAGGAAACCACTTTCAGTATTCTAACAAAAAGTTTTCCTTGGACGATTTTACTAATAATTATGCCCTAACCTAATCCTAATATGAATGCTAACCCAACCTTAACGACTTTTAAAAACTTTATCGATCTTATAGGTGACAATATCACGTTCGTAACAATTAACTTTTTCCTAAATTTAAACTTTATACATTATTTCAGAATATATATATATACAATATTTGAAAAGTATATTATTTTAGAATATATACGAGTATTTTTTTAAGCTAAAAGATTAAAGTTTCAAATAATGCACATATGCGCGCAAATACTATAGAATTAATATTATATTATAAATTAGTTATAAATATGTAATTTGTATAATTAGAATTTGTAATTTAATAAACTATTATATATACTGATTATATAGTTTAATAAAATTTATATATATAGTTGTTATAAATTTATTTTTAAATAAAATTTGATTTTTAAATTTAATTTTTTTTGATAAATTTTTTGCTTTCAATATATCTCAAGAATCTACTTCAACTCAATCTTTTTTAGAATCTTTGTACCAAGTTTCCTCACATTAACAATCTACTTTACAACAATCTATTTTTTAACAATCTACTTCTCAACAATCTACTTCTCAACAATCTACTTCTCAATAATCTACTTCTCAACAATCTACTTCTCAACAATCTACTTCTCAACAATCTACTTCTCAACAATCTATTTCTCAACAATCTACTTCTCAACAATTTACTTTTCAACAATCTACTTCTCAACAATTTACTATTCAACAATCTACTCCTCAATCTACTTCTTAATCTACTTCTCAACAATCTATACAATCTTCTTTTCAACAATTTTCTTTTCAACAATCTTTACAATCTTCTATTTCATCTTCTATTCTACAAACTTTTCCACAACTTACTCATCAAGATTCCCAACAATCTATCGTTAATATGTTAGATGATTTTACATTTGATAATACTATTATTGAAGAATTTAATAAATCAGAAGATTTACCTATTGTTTATAAATTTTATACTTTTAATAAAGATACTAATAAATTTAAATGCAAACTATACTTGTAAGTTTTATTTTTTAATTTTATTATTTAAAATTTTAAATTAATATATTAATTTTTTTAGAACTGATTATGTTAAGTCAAAAAATAAATCTACTGGAACAATGTGATCACATCTTAAAAATAAACATCAAATTAACTTAAATAGATTAGAAAATAAAACAAGAAAAAAAGTAATTTAATTTAATATTATATTTTTTTTAATTATTATTATTAAATTTAAACTATTTTATTTATAATTTTAAATTATCAATTTTTTTTTAAAAAATATATAATATAAATATTAATAATTTATATTTATTTATTTATAGAAATTTGTATAAGCAGAGTTTATTAATCTAATTACTGATTGGATAGTTGATGATGATCAATCATTTAGAGTTGTTGAAAACCTAGTTTTAAAAGAATTATTGAATATTTAAGTAAAAAAGCAAAACTTATATCTGGAACTACAGTTAAAAATAAAATTATATCAAAATATGAATCTGAGAAAATTGAAATTATTAATAAATTACAAGTATATTTATTATAAATTTAAAACTTAAAATTTAATAATAATATTTATTTTTATTTTTAGAATTTATCTTGCAAAATTTCTATTACTCTTGATATTTGAACTTCTTCTAAAGTTGAATCATTTTTAGGAATTATTGCTCACTGAATTGATGATAATTGGAATATACAACAAACAACTCTTGATTTTGTTCAATTAAAAGGTGTATATTTGGGAGAAAATATTGCTAACATATTATATAAAATATTAAATAATCTTGGACTTTTAAACAAGATTTTTTAAAATATATTTTATTTATATAATATATATTTAATTATTAATAAATTATTATTTTTTAATATAGATTTTAGCAATTACAACTGATAATATATCTAATAATAATACAATATTTAGATATTTTGTTAATCATTATATTTATAATGATATTAATTTTGATATAGATAATCAAAGAGTACGATGCTTGGCATATATAATTAATCTGGCAGCTCAAGATCTTTTGAAAAATCTTAAAGCTGAAGGACCTAATGAAAATAAAATTTTATTAGATAATGAAGATATTAGTTCTACAGTAAAAAAAAGTAAGCAAATAAATTTAATATTTATAAAATATTATACAAAATTATATTTATTTTATTATATTAATATATAATTCTTATAAAAGCTTAGAAAAATTATTATGATAATTTATTTATCACCACAACATAGAGAAAAATTTTTTCAATATAATTCTAATAATCTTGAACTAATTCTTGATATAAAAACAAGATGGAACTTGACATATTATATGTTAAAAAGAGCACTTGAACTAAAAGAAATAAGTAAAAAATTTTAAATTTATTAAAATTTATTATTAATAAATTATTTTTTTATTAGCTAATTGATATAATAACAAAACTTGATCAAGAAATTGAAAAGTATTCATTATCTCAAGAAGAATGGAATCAAATTATAATAATTCAAAATTTATTAAAAGTATATAAAATATATATTATAAAATTTTTATATATTAAATTTATATTTTATTAATTTTATTTTATAATTTAGGATTTTGAAAAAGCAACTATTAATATTAGTGGTTGCAAATATTCAACTATTGGATTAGTTATTCTATATTATCATGATTTACTTGATGTATTAGAAAAATATATTAATAATTGTTCTAATTTAATTATTAAAGAAGCAATTAAAAAAGCCAGAACTAAATTGAGCAAATATTATTCAGATGCTAATAGTTTAGTTTATATTATTGGAACAAGTATATATTATATATATTTATTTTTTGTTAAAATTTATAATTTTTATTTATTAATATTATACTATATTTTTAGTTTTAGATCTGAGACTTAGATTAGATTATTATAGAGAAAATAGATTTGAAAAAGAATCTATTAAAATTTATAAAAATCAAATTTAACAATTATAGATATCTGAATATCAACCAACTCAAACTTCTATTGCTGAAAATATATCAAATGAAAAAGTACCAAATATTTTTAAAAACTGAAAAACTATATATACTGATGAATTAGAAATATATTTAAGAAATCCAACTGTAAATCCATATTTATATGATAATATATTATTATGGTAGAAAATAAATAATAATTTTTAATTTTTTATACATAATATAAATATTTTTTAAAATAATATTTAAAATATAGAATCATGAAAGTGAATTTAAATATTTATCTAAAATAGCAAAAGATTATTTATCAGTTCAAGGTATAATATTTAATATTTTATTAATATTAATTTATAAATATAATTATTTTAAAATTTTAATTTTAATATTTAGCTACAAGTATTTCTGCAGAAAGAGTATTTTCAGCTGCTAAAGAATTAATTATTTCGAGAAGATGTAATTTAAATCCTACAACAATTAGAGCATGTATGTGCCTGAAAGAATAGCAAAAAATAAATAATAGCTAGTTTAACTACTTTTATTAAATATTAATTTTATTAACCTAATTTTTCTTATTAATATTATGTTTTATATATATTATATTAAAGATTTACCATATTTTCACGTAATAATGCCTATCTGTGTGTTATTTTGAGTATATGCATGTTATTTAGAGTATGCACATAGGCATTATTTTGAGATAATTAATTTTTTTTACTAAGTCTGATTTTCTAAATAACGCATATGTGCGTTATTTTGAAACAAATATGAGGCCAATTTTTTTAATTAAAGCTCATAAGAATTATACATACGTATGTATAAAATAATTATGGCTAATTAGCACAAGCTGTAACAATTTTGCGCATCTCTTATCTATAGTAATAGGCTAACTTTCTCGTAAAATTATTGCTTTATATATGAAAGTCAGCTAATAAAATTATACTGTGCAATTAACTCTATTATTATAATAAAAGAACGAAAAAGACCAAATATTTTTTTTAAGTATATATGTTTTTCTCAAACCTCTTTTATTCATTATACCAAGTAA